TTTTGTTCTAAATAAATCAGATCTTTGCATTTTAATGGAACTGTAGCACACAAGTTATTATAGTGTGTATATTTAGATACACTCAGCTTCAGGTATAATATTTTTTTATCAGCTTGTTTAAAGTCGTAAGAAATCTTTTTTTCTATAGAAACCATTGGTTTTGGTGCAACTCACATTAAGATTTCCTACTTCGGGAGCGTGTTTACCAATACACATTACACCTAGACTAGGACAACTATTTGTAGATCACACAATAAGTTGTTCTGTGCGGGTATAAAACCCGCGATACGTAAAACAGCAGCCACCGCGACATAATAGTAAATTTATTGAAAAGCTAAATTTTTTTGTTTTTTTTTCTGGAATTGGTCGACAAATGAGAAGACAGATAACCTGATGGTAAGTAATCAGCGTCGCCCATAGGCAACGGAGGAGTAACGAGTGCGTTGCCGACCTTTTAGAGATTAGGGTTTTGGAGATTTAGGGACTGGGAGGGATTGGGGGAGGGGAAGGATTGGGCCTCCGGTAACCTCACTCATACGTTGAAACACAACGCTGTGGTTGTTTCACGTCGGTATTCTGTGAGGCCGTGGTATCACTCCGGTTGAGCCGACCCATTCGTGCCGAAGCTTGGCTCTCCTACACTTAAATTTTCTTAAGGTCCGACTAGTTTCAATTCTTAATTCAACTTCTTCTTTCAACGCTGGCAATTGTTGGCTTGGCTGTGGGATTTTAGCTTTTGGATACCATATGATAGAATAAAGACATGAAACAATGCTTGAATTGTGTTTCGTTTCCCCTTTTTTCCTTGATTCCCAATCCTTAAATCGCTTACAACACCCAAAAGGACGACAATGCACTTCTAACTTCTTCGTGATGCGAGTGTCCATAGGCGGCGCATGATAGTAAACGGTCACTGCCTATATCATCTACCTCTATAGTTGGCCATCATGAGTGCAGTACGAAGGAATTTATTGACCCCTCATCCTCTCCAAAATTTGAATTTGCGTTATCAATTTACCTCAAACCAGTTTACCTATGTATAAGTAATGTAATTTTCCTTTCAGTTCAATGACCATAAATCAAAAATGCAAATATTTATGAATTGCTAAAAATCTGTCGAGAATGCAGTCCGACTCATTGCATATTGAAAGAGCGAATGGCGGGAAATTGGTTATTAATAACGGTTTGGCAATTGGCCAGCTGTCCGCCACTATGTGAACATGATGGTTTGAAAAGCTGATGTTTTGAAACCATGCGTTGTGTTTTTTTTAACAAACGCTAGACAGAAAAAGTTATAATACCTCCATGATGTAATACCTATGTATGTGAACTTTATAAAATATATTTTTGAAGTGTAAGACAGACATGCTTCGGCCCGAATGGATCGTCTCAACCTCAGTGTCAACGCGGTCGCACTGAAAAGTGGCGTAGAACAACACTTGCGTTGTTTTTCGGTTTGTGAGTGAGGTTACCGGAGGTCGAATCCTTCTTCCTCCCGAGGCTTTCAATCCTAATTCGGTGTTTTCCAACTAGTCAAATCCGTTACTTTTATTGAAATGACCATAACGATACTTTTCTATGAATTTTGTATGAGATGCCTATATACATATTGATTCATAATGATTTCACGTAAAACAGCATACGTATTTTTTAATATTTAACTAGAAAATATACGAAATTAAGTGTCGTCAAATCAATAAATGAAAGTTAATCGTAGGTACTTTAATTTAAAAATAACTTGTATCAAAAAGTCGAAATAATTTATTTTTTAACTAGAAAACTACCCAATTACGAATGTGACTTTTATTCGAATTATATGTTTACTTTACTATATTTATATGAATTTTGTAAAACGTCTTTGCCTTACACGTCATAGTGTCTTACAAAATTCACATAAATTCACCGTTCAGTAACTTGGGCCTACAATTTAAAATTATAAGTTTGAAAAGAAAGCGTGATCTGCCCTACTTATTGCGCAAAAAGGCTTTTTCTTAAAAATTGGAGACACTGATGATGATGTTGAATACGAGTACCTACAACAATACTTACCAGGTGATGAGCCGTAACCATATACATATATAAATTTTATGTAATAGGTCGGCAAACCAGCTGGCGGATTACCTGATGGTAAGCAATCAGCGCCGCCCTTGGACACCCGGCAACAGAGGAGTTACGAGTGAGTTGCTGACCTTTTGGGGATTAGGGATTTACAGATTTAGGGATTGGGGAAGGATTGAGCTTCCGGTAACCTCACTCACACGGTGAAACACAACGCTGTGGTTGTTTCATGTAGGTTTTCTGTGAGGTCGTGGTATCACTCCGGTGACTGCGGCGGACCTATTCGTGCCGAAGCATGTCTCTTCCACACAGATGACATCAAATATGACATAATCATGAATAAATATAATTGAATATACATTTTAATGTAACGAAGTAGGCCGAATTGATGAATAATAAAATATAACATTCCAATTTAAAATTTAATTCATATTCAAACAACTTCTGTATTTAGATTACGCAACATTATATCTATTATAATATTTATTTATTTATTTATACAGTTTGACACATAATAAACATAACTCTCAAGGAACTATTAATAATTCATTTAACATTCTTATTTCAATAATATTATATATTTTGAACGTATTGCCTAATAAATAAGGCAATACTTTGATATAATTATGCACGACATAACACAGTTCCACCAAATAACACCAAAATTTAGTTTATATAATATTCCTTAAACAGAACATTATTGATTTTGTCTGATTACTTAATTTATAGCACCTAGCTCGTAAACTATGTTTTAAAAACAGTATCTGCAGCTTACATCCCTTTTGTAAAGAAAATCCTATTTACATTTCCTAACAACCCTTAAAAACTATTTTACAAAGAAACTTAACATAAATCTCTCTCTCACTCTTTTTCTCTGTTTTCTCTTTCTCTATCTCTCTCTCTCTTTTTCTATAAAAATCCAGCAGTGTCTTTCAAAATCACGAATATGTTTCTTTAGTTGTGTTATGTAATGTATTACTTAATTGTAATAACGAGCGAGTCTATTACACTTACTGGTTCAAGTTATAAGTAAAAAATATTGAAATACTAACTAATAGCCTGTAATGAGAATTCTACCCGAGACCTTATACTAAATAGTTGCAACTGTGACCTATGAGACAAATATAAAAATAATATTAGTACCTGACGTACTCAGAAACATTTAATGATTACTTAAACTTATCCTTTTATAGTTCTATACTAAAATTACTTAAAGACTGGGTTAAATAACATTAAACGACTCTGAGTATGGCGGTAAATAGTTATCAGTAACGAATTGTTAGCCACTGACTTACGAAAGAGCGTAAGTAAGATTAAACACTCGTTAAATAGAGACACCTAAACAACTAGTTTAAGAAATCAATTTTGTTATTTGTAAATACAGCACAGTTATTGACAATACAATACTATTGATTCACACATACACAAAATTCTAAAATAACCTTTAATGCACCGAGATAAGGATGAAAGTTGATAATGATATGATCTTACTCAGTACAATGGTATGTTCCAGTAGTAAACGTGACCATGAACGCATCTCAATGTTTATCATCATAGACAATGTCAATATAAACATCAAACATTCCAGTACTTCAATTAGTAAAAGAGTTACATTACATAAACAAGTGTGCATTCATTTGGCAAATTTTATCACGTAGGGCAATGAAACTGACTGTAACAAGACAATTAGTCTTTCAAATTAAAATTGGAATATACATATTTATTTAAAAATATTATCCCAAAAATACTATATTTACCAAAAATACCAAAAATTATTTATTTTTATCATGCCCCTTATTGTCAAAATTACATATCAATTATTGCAAAACTTTGATACGGAGAAAAGTTGAAGATGTGCCAATTAGCTGGTTGGAGTAGCCTTTTAATATACAGCCTGGATTTTTAGTGGAATAATGAACAATGGAATTTGATACTTATATTCACTTTAAAATCAGCATATTAGCGCAGACGAATCACACCATAATTTTCATTTTCGAAGATTAAGTTTCAACTAACTAGTTGGACGATATTCGTTAGTAAAACAATGCTACAAATTATTAATAGAAAATACATTTATTATATCTATTTATTAATCCAAAAAAACTTTGCTGCTAAATTTTTTTTCAAAGCGCGAATATAAACGTTTCTACGCTAAGCATGAGTTACTTTTTTTTACGAAGACGAAATCTTAAAATTCAGACGCCTTTGCTATGAGAAGACATTGTGTTGTATGAAAAAGATAGTTTAATAAACTATGACGTCACAAGCGTCACAAATCTGGCTTACTAATAAACGAACAAGACATTAACAATGTTGAATATCTCAATGTTGTACTAATAAACATCTCAAGAGCACATTCCGATGTAAATAAATATCAACACTAGTACGTTGGTAACATGTATTTTTATAGTACAGAAGTCTATCATCGTTCACATAAGGAGTATCTATTGTTTTGAAAGACAATCATTTTCCTGCAACCACATATGGACGAAGAACCTCACTTTGGCACTTGTCCCATTAAGCAATGTTAAGCTATCAAGTGTTTTTAATCGTGTCCACCTGTTAATGGAACCAATTGATTGACATACAGACAATAGGTTTTTATTTCGAATATTTAAAGTATAGAATGGAAAATTAAAGTTTGCAGGTTATGCCTACTTTCTGTGAATTGTCTTCTATGTTTTGTGAGAAGAATTTGTTATAACTATACTATTGTTAAGATAATATACCCATACTTCTGTTTTAATTCTTCGGGGACTCTGAACAATGGTACGGGATGATTAACAATGAAACGCGTTCAGTCCAAGCCTAGATCTTGACAACAATATACGAAAGTATGTTAAATCTATTTATAGTTCGTGTAGTGAATCATACATGGCTCATTTATACATTTACTGAATGGTATCAACTAATGGTGTTAGCCTACAAACTAAATGACAATACGGCTACTAATAGTGACATTAGGCGAGACGGCGATATCGCTTAGTCATCCTGCTGTAGGGGATCCCTTTGGCACCAGTACCTTGCTGTATACAAAGACACAATGGTTCTTACTAAACTAAACATTACATTAACTTTTGGCATGCTTACCTAATAGAGAGAATTATATTCACAAAAGATTACGAATCCTCGTTTCGAAATTACTAATAAGATGCTAATTATATTTGGTGGTAGATCAATAAAATTACAAAAGAAAACAGTTTAAGCTAATATAAACCTTATAGACACTTATTTCTATAACTATTGCTAAAAGTATTGCATCATTTAGCACACCAGTGTCCAATCACTGCACCATGTTGGATTTTAAAGCTGTTTTTACAGTCCTATGTGATCTGATCTCGTCTTTGACTAGACGTATATTTCTACTTCGAAGTTTAGAGGATGATGCCTTTGACTCTTCATTCGAACTGTGACGTAGGAGTATCCTACTCCTCCATCAGTTATATTGGCACTTGCATGGGAGAAGTCATTGTCTATTACTGCTATGCCCTGTAAACAAAAAATAAATAATGTTATTCAATGCATTTATATTCATCGTCGTCCTTTTTTTTATGCTTTGGTTTTCAATGGAAGTATTTCATGTTAAAAACTTTAAGTTAAGACTCATCAGAACCAAGATCAATAGAAATAATATGAATTCTTTAGGACATTCAAATTATACATATTTCCGATGCCCTCAATAAGTTAAGAGGATTTATTGGTCAGGTCAAAAGGGCATGTATAGTTAGTTAGGTACTGTCTATATATTTGCCTTTTATTTCGGGTATTAACAGAATTCAAACTATTGTTTTACTTTAATAAATCTGACTTCATGACCGCAAAATTCTAAATTTAGAATGTGTACATTAATATTTAAATTCAAATACCAACCGCAATAAGTGTAAACAAAGTAAGCGTATGTTTACCTACTTTAGTGTTTAGGTAAAAGAGCATTAATTTGTATTTATTAATAAGTACTAGCTTTTGCCCGCGTCTCCGTTGGCGTGGAATAGTGAGTTACTGCAGATTTTTGGTATAAAAACTATCCTATGTCCTTTCACGAGTTCCAAACTATGTCTATACCAAATTTCACAGAAATCGGTTCAGGAGTTTAGGCGTGAAGAAAAGACAGACAGACAGAGTTACTTTCGCATTTATAATATTTGTAATATTAGTTTAGATAAGTATTTAATTTGTGGAATATTGGTTATCAAGAAACGTTGTCTTAGATAATTATTTTCTCCTGTGTTTTGTACTCAGAATACAGAACAAGTATGAGTTTACAAACATATAAATGACATACAAATGACACCTAGAACCGGGATAATAATTTGTAGATCAGTCAAAACTGTCAGAGTCGTGCAAAAATAGACACGTCAATTCTAGTTGTATTCCAATGAAATTAATTTAAGAATTTCACTAGGTTATTTGTTTAATCTACATTACTGTTGTTTTGACCAATCAAATCGCTTTGTTCGCTCTTTACTTGACTAATGAACCAGACACGTACCATGTTTGTTTTGAAAACAATTTATAATATTAATTTTATCATAATATATGTATATTGTTTTTATCTTTTGAATAACGGTTTCTTTTGTTTGTACAGCTCGTATTTCTGGAGAAGTAAACTACAATTAAGATAATACATATCGCATCTTGCTTTTTAAACCAATTATTTAATCAAACCTCAAGCGAATGCCGGCGTTCGCGAACATAGTATCTTACTATTATGACCAAAATTCATCAAACACCAAGCGAACGCCGCCGTTCGCGTACCTCTTATGTTACTATTATGTCTCGAATTCCTACGATTGAAAGGTTAATACAATTTCTTTTGTATGTTTTAATAACTACGAACATATTCTCTATTCTTGCTTATGCACTTGCTTTAAAGAACCAAAGGTTATTCACATAGATTCATATCATTAAATGACCTATTCCATCTTTAAACAGGAAATGACATTTGTCCTTTAGAAATGCAAACTAGATAGCGGTTGCCATTGCAAATAGAACATAACAACCGAACACATAAAACTCAAATTCGTTATCAATAGAATCAATCGTAAAAATCAATGTTATCTAACTCAGATTATGTAGTCACCCTTGACCGAATAGGTAGTATAAAAGTCTGCAAATTAGGAAGCTATTTTGAAAGAAAATTCTAGCACAAAATGTGTGACATTAACGTTTTGGTTTACGCAATAACATACTTTTTTGCATTTGTAATGCGACTCATTTTTGTATGAAGCAGTTTTATGTAAAAAATGCTGACGTTGATATTGAACATTGTACTTTAAAGGAAAAATATAATAATCAGCATTGAGACGCGGTCAAGGAACAAAACGACTTACGACATCACTGAGCAATGCAAAGCATTTGGAACTACATTTTATAAATACTTGCTTTATTGGTTTAAATTACTTAAAAAAATAATACTTAAATGTTTATTATTGCAAGTTATGAGAGGCATTTAATTCTGTTTGTTACACATTCAAAAGAATAACCTTTAATAAAATTCAGTCATTTTATTTAAATAAAATAAAAACAGCCTTTATAAACACTTGAATAAATAATTCTTGAAAATTGAAGTAAAAGAAAAAACGAAATAACTGTTCTATTTTTGAATGAATTTATATATTATTTAAATTAATCTCACCTTAATCATCCTCTTTTCTGGATCACTGAACGTTAAAGTCTTTACTCTCTTTTTGAAGGGTATCGCAAAATCTTTGACCCTCTGATGGAAAATCATTTTCCGGTGAACAGTATCGCCGACGATCATGTCGGAGCACAGCACAGGTACACACACGCACAACAAACACGAAACTAATAATAACAGGAATACAAAACGCATTTCGATTTTATTTTACATAGTTGCACAAGTAAGTATAGCTTAAGCGACTGTGCGGCGACGAATGAGATGATAACCTCTCGCTGTCGATAAACGTCCACACAATAACAACTTCACTCCGATTCTAATTTACACGTTTTTGCTAAAGTGACGTCCTCTGGCATGTTAATGAGTGAACTCGTTCCGAAATGATGTTTAACTAGCGAACTATTGACGTTACCTTTGGATCGTCTGTCTGATACTAGATTTTGTTTACAAACTGTAGTTTTTCAATCGAAACAATAGCTGCTTATTGTTTTCTTTGATCGGTATGTTAATGTTGATGTTTTAACAAAATGATTCATTATTTATTTTCGGGATTCATTTCGGAGGCCTTGAATAATAGTAAAAGGTGATAAATGATGAGGCAATAGTAGTGATTATAGATCATTTTGACAATGATATAAAGGTACTTAATATAATAGACTGATTCAGTAATGAAAATAATTATATAAATAGCAATTGTAGTGAAAGTTACTTTTAAAATACCACGTGAAGGAATGTTTCCATCTCCATTAGTTAGATGCTGTGTGCAAGTTGTCGCGGTTGACTGCACGGTTGACGCGGAGGCTGGGCAATTGGCTACCATGTAGCGTATTGCAGGCTCGATTCCTGCACAAAACAACAGACTGTTTGTGTATTTTACAATTGTTTTTTGACACAACCATGTTTGATACTAATGTTACAATAGTTGTCTTACTATCTTACTAATATTATAAATGCAAAAGTTACGATCTTTGAATGTTTATAACTCAATCACGCCAAAACGGCTGGATGGATCTGGATTAAATTTAGCACATGCATAGAATACACTCTGTAATAGGACATGGGCTATCTTTTTATCAACAATTTTTTATAACACGCAGGCGGAAGCTCGTTATGTAATACAATATATTTATAGTATTCTTAAGTTTTATAGATTAGCAGTATTGTATACTTATGTTCGTATGGGTTTTCGATGCCTGAAATAAGGGGATGAATAAAAATAAACAAATAAATAATGGATCGGCTCGACTAGAATAAACACAACCGTTGTTTCACGCCAATTTTTTTATGAGGTATCTGTAATCTCTCCTTTCAAGCCCGTTTTGTGCTGAAATGGTACCTCCCCGGCCTGTAAGAATAAGTAACGATATCGTTCAGTTAACATGAAAACTCTCCATTGCTATTTTTCTTCCGTGTCGACAGAACGATCAATCTTGTCGTCACTCAGAACTTTGACAAGAAAATTTGAAAAGTTTTTCTTTATGACGTGAATGATGCAATTTTGATAATAGTTACACTTATATTAAAGTTCAAAATTGGTTTTTGAAAGTTGTTCTTCGGTGTTACGATTGTGAGGTCGATTAATGTAAGTTTGTACTTTAATTGGATCGCTTCGGCGTTAGTGGGAAATTATATCAACAGTCTGAGTAGTGAGTAATGAACAAGACTGGAGAAATATGTGACATTTCATTGTGCGTGTAAAGTGACGTCATTCTGTTGGGGAATTATTTGCTTAATAATAATTACTACGGGTGACTCAACATTAAAATTGTCTGTATCTTATAATGATAATTTACTACTCAGAGACATTTAATGATTACTTAAACTATGTTCTTTTTGAATTCTTAATTATTAACTATAATAATATTATTTTTGATTGTTTAAATTATAGTATACATTAAATAATTAGATTATAACTTCTTACTTTTGTATTTTGTAAGACTGATGGCTAAACTATCGAATTGGGTTTTATCTGTGATGATGGTTGTTAGTGATGTAAATAAATATAAATAAATAAATAAATGCCTTAGAACGATTTTATTCCGAAAACAATTGCTGAGTTTGGCTACGGTCACGCCTTCGTGAGACGTTGTTAGTAACATAACAATATATTTATTGTAATTAATTTATAACGATAAATTATTAGGTATATTTTCTTGAAGCTGATGACTGCAAATCATGGTTTAGAATATAATTTGATTTATTGTTTACCTGTATTGAAGGTACAGGAAAGTATAATGAACTAACTAACTAACCACTACTATTTTTGTATTTAGAGGAGATATAAACAATATGTGAATAAATACATATTATTGTTTAATTAACTATTTAATGATTTTAATTTATTTATAAACAAAATACAAATAAATTATACAAATTTAAATAACGATATAAACCTTTATTTAGAACATATACAACGATTTTACCAACTGTAAGTTCTGATAACCCTCTTACTTACAATCAAATAAGTAAGTTTAAAACAAAAAGTTCTAAAGGTATTAACACTATTAAAACTCCAAAACAATAGAAACCTGATTAAACAACTTTTATTTCAACCAGAAACTCAAGCAAATTTTGAATAATTGAGCTCCGGTTCACAGTAACGAAGGCGTTGGAGCTAAATTGATGTACGGGTATATTTTGAATAATAACCGGTAAAGGGTTAAATGATTGCTCTAATTTAGATTAATTGCTCATCTATCTTTTACACGTGGGCGTTTTCTGTCGAAAATGCAAATGTACTGTTGTTTTCATAAATCAAATTAATGCACATTTTTGTGAAGGCGTAACACGGAAATGACTTTTTTGATTGAATGCATCTTCTACGTTGAAAGGCGCGTAGGCGTTAAAAGAAGTTAATATTTTTTATGTTAAGATTGAGATGTACATAATAGTGGCTGAGAGAATGAAATTTAATTGTGCGTTTGGATATAGAATTAAATGTTTTCTTAATATTCTAAAACCAAATAGTTACTTTTTTTGAACTCTCTTGTCTCAGATACTACTAGTTCTAAATAAACAATTATCTTTGCTATACTGCTTATTAATTGAGGAAGGTTTTAAGAAAATAAGAGTCATACAGAAACCATAATAATTCATAAAGAATCCACACGAGAGATAAAAGATAAATTAAATAGTAATTCCTCTGACAGCAACTAAAATAACAGGCACATTTTACTTAATTGAAAAATAAAAAATCATGACACTCTGTATTCAGCTGTTTTTTTGATTCTTTGACATGTGTGCGAGTGTATTATAGTACAAAGACAGTAGGTATCTATTGTTATATTAAATTGTTTACTTTTCTTCTTACTATTGTTCGGCTCATTTACTAGGTTACTTTCTCTGTATTCAATCAATCTTTATTTTCTTGTCTATTAGACTAAGTGTACGTACAGTGCGGCCGACGTATCTTGGCGAGTCTGAAGTTAGCCATTTGTCTGGGCAATGGATCTTTTAGGAACAAAATTGTGTAATCGGTTAACTTCAGACTCGCCAAGATACGTCGGCCGCACTGTATATTAAGCATTTGACTGCTGACAAAAATTGTTGATGGCTAACCCTCCGCTAGCGTCGGACAGCATTGTCCGACATAGCGTTCTAAGTGTTAATTGAAAGTATGTTGCACAACGTTTTTATTGTAAAATATTGTGTAACTTACAAGTTGAGATAGAAAAATTAACAATGCAATTAACATTCAGATAAGATGTTCGTTTGTTACTAGAAATAGTTCATACGACTGTGTCATTCATTAGTCTTCCATTATGCTAATATACCGATCAAGAATTTTAGATTGAATTTTTTAGGGCATGCAAACCTCGAATTGTTTATGGTTCTTTACAAATTCCGTTGCTGGTGCAGCTATTAGAATATCAGAAATTAGAGGTTTACTATATCACGTAATCTTCCTGCCGAGCTCTTAGAATACCTTTTTTTGAAGGGGTAAAAAATATATTCTCTTTTGTCGCTCTAGATGGGGCGAAAAAGGGTGTTAGACTCTTACTGACTAAAATCCACCCCGTTTTTTCTCCCGCTGCAGGGTAAGGCCAACTACTCGTATATAGGTATTTTTGCGCTTGACCAACAACACCTTTTTATTTTTTGTGAGAGGAAAATCGACTTATCGTCTTCTCTCGCCCAGGGTGAGGTGAGAGGGAGAGTCAGACTCCTACTAACTAAACCCCCCTCCCCCCATTCCTTCTCCTGCACTGAGCACGGTCGCGGTGCCTTACTGCACTTGCTCCGCAACTCTGGCTGAACCTTTTAAATCCCTCTGGTATCCTTAAAGTAAGGCGTGATTTTATGCCATAATTTCATAGCGTTATACCAGTTTTGTGATAATTAATTATTAAAATTTAAATTTAAAACTTATTAATGGGAATTTATTCTTTAAATCTCTGTGACGTCAAGAAAAATAACTAATATTTGGTAATGGCGCCTACGTCTTCGATCTCTCACAATGTCAATTCCCGTGTCCAGACAAATATTTGTATGAACGTTTGTAGTTGTAATGGAGCATACGCACACACAGGAAATCCAATATTAGTTTTAAACTTAGTAAGTATATGTACGTCACCGGTTTTGTCATTAATTGTATTGTAATAGCGGCTAGACCTGTTCCCAAACTTTAAAGGCGAAATGCGTCATTTATTGGATTAACAATTAAAGATTTGGGCTCTTTCATCCATTGAAGTATATGAAATCACTAAGCGAACGGGTCACGTTTTCTTCAATTCAACATGACGTCATTTCTATTATATGATAAATAAGTCCCAAAATCTTTTCAGTTGAGACTATTCTATAACTAGCTTTATATTTGCTAACGTATTCTAAGTCTTATAATTATTGGACCCAAAAAGTACACCCAACTGACAATGTTCATGTAGATATCATCGTTTCGTTTTCATTATTAAAAAAGATCTATCCAATCGCGCATCATTGAACTCGATCTTCAGTTGTTTGAATTGAACCACTTCGCTCAAGCTTCTCCGGCCAGTTATTATTGTCCTACCTTTTTATTCATAAATATACGAAACGGCCTTTCTTACCTTACCTTCCCATAATCTAGAACCTGAGGCTTCTTTATTACGTATTCATGTGGAAACTATTATCCGTTGTCTAAAGCAATGCGCGCTTCCATACATTGAGCGAGGGTTTACCGGGGATTTCTACCCTCATAACTGATTCTATCGATATAGTTTCAGAGAATCGTGTGTGGTATTACGAAGGATATTTATGTGTATAGCCATTGGATAAGGCATCGCTTCAGTATCTGGAAATTCTAGTTCTTGTTTATTTTTCGAACTT